CTCAAAACAGAAAACCAGGAGTCACCCTGACTTTTCCTCTTCCCCTCCCTTAGTACATCAGCAAATAGTTGATTCTTTCTCCAAAATACAGTCTTGAATCCATCCTTGTTTTAGCTCTTGTGTCAAGGACTTGCTGCAACTATTACCCACTTCATCTGAATTACTGTAACAGCCTCTTTCTCTTCCCATCTCCACGTCCGTGTTCTGTAGAGCAGCAAGGGGATATGTCTTTGTAAATCATGTTCTCAAACTTGTTTGCTTTTTTAAAACCTTCATTGACTTTTTTGAGCACTTAAAATCCCATATCCTTATTTTGGTCTAAGGAGGGTGATCTTATGTCTCATTTTACATAGGATACAGTTTTTAAGAGAGCTTCCATTTTATTCTCAAAACACTATGGTTTGGACAGCATGTTAGTATCTATTTACTGTGACACCCTAAGTTTTCTGGGCCCTGTCCATTCCCCCTCACTCAGAAAACTGCACCCAGATTTGTGTTCTCTGAGTTCTTATGCCTCCTTTGGGGACTTGCAGGTTCTTTCCTTCTCCCTGGTACACTTTTCTTCACCTTCTTCACTTAGCTTTCGCCTTATTGTCCTTCAAGCCTTAGCTTCATGGGTGTCCCTGAGGTGTTTTTCCTTAACTCTCTGTCTAACAGCATCACTTCCTTGTTCTTTGCATCATGTCCTTGTTCCATTTCCTCCGTGGAGTCACCAGAATGTGATGTTTAATTGTCTGTTGTTGTTCAGTCGCTCAGTCACAACTGACTCTTTGCGACCCCATGAACCACAGCATGCCAGGCTTCCCTGTCCATCACCAACTCCTGGAGCTTGCTCAAACTCATGTCCATCTAGTCAGTGATGCCATGCAACCATCTCATTCTCTGTTGTCCCCTTCTCCTCCTGCCCTCAATCTTTCCCATCATCAGGGTCTTTTCAAGTGAGTCAGCTGTTCGCATCAGGTGGCCAAAGTATTGGAGTTTCAGCTTCAACATCAGTCCTTGCAATGAATATTCAGGATTGATTTCCTTTAGGATGGACTGGTTGGATCTCCTTGCAGTCCAAGAGACTCTCAAGAGTCTTCTCCAACACCACAGTTCAAAAGCATCAATTCTTCGGTGCTCAGCTTTCTTTATCGTCCAACTCTCACATCCATACATGACTACTAGAAAAACCATAGCCTTGACTNATGTGGAAGTTCATGGTTCATGTACTGTTGAAGCCTGGCTTGGAGAATTTTGAGCATTACTTTGCTAGTGTGTGAGATGAGTCCAATTGTGTGGTAATCTGAACATTCTTTGGCATTGCCTTTCTTTGGGACTGGAATGAAAACTTACTTTTTCCAGTCCTGTGGCCATTGCTGAGTTTTCCAAATTTTCTGGCATATTGAGTGCAGCACTTTCACAGCATCATCTTTTAGGATTTGAAATAGCTCAACTGGAATTCTATCATCTCCACTAACTTTTTTTGTAGTGATACTTCCTAAGGCCCACTTGACTTTGCACTCTAGTATGTCTGACTCTCGGTGAGTGATCACACCATCATGGTTATCTGGGTCATTAAGATCTTTTTTGTATAGCTCTTCTATGTATTCTTGCCACCTTTTCTTAATATCTTCTGCTTCTGTTAGGTCCATACCATTTCTGTCCTTTATTGTGCCCATCTTTGCATGAAATGTTCCCTTGGTATCTCTGATTTACTTGAAGAGATCTCTAGCCTTTCCCATTCCATTTCCCATTCCATCTCTAGTCCTTCCTTGCTCTTCTTTGGAACTCTGCATTCAGATGGATATACCTTTCCTTTTCTTCTTTGCCTTTAGCTTCTCTTCTTTTCTCTGCTATTTGTAAGGCCTCCTCACCAGGTGGTTTTTTGGAGAAGGAAATGGCAACCCACTCCAGTACTTTTGCCTGGAAAATCCCATGGAGGAGCATGGTAGGCTACAGTTCATGGGGTTACAAAGCGTCAGACGCGACTGAGCAACGTCACTTTGTCAGACAACCATTTTGCCTTTTTGCATTTCTTTTTCTTGGGGATGATTTTGATCATTGCCTCCAATACAGTGTTACCAACCTCCATCCATAGTTCTTCAGGCACTCTGTCTATCAAATCTAACCTGTCGAATATATTTGTCACTTCTACTGTATAATCATAAGGGATTTGATTTAGGTCATACCTGAATGGTCTAGTGATTTTCCCTACTTTCTTCAACTTAAGTCTGAATTTTGCAATAAGGAGTTCATGATCGGAGCCACAGTCAGCTCCTGGTCTTGTTTTTGCTGACCGTATAGAGCTTCTCCATCTTTGGCTGCAAAGAATATAATCAGTCTGATTTCTGTATTGACCATCTGGTGATGTCAATGTGTAGAGTCTTCTCTTCTGTTGTTGGAAGAGAGTGGTTGCTATGACCAGTACATTCTCTTGGCAAAACTTTGCCCTGTTTCATTCTGTACTCTAAAGCCAAGCTTGCTTATTACTCCAGGGATTTCTTAATTTCCTTTTGCATTCCAGTCCCTTATGATGAAAAGGACATCTTTTTTTTGGTGTTAGTTCTAGAAGGTCTTGTAGGTCTTCATAGAACTGTTCAACTTCAGCTTCTTTGGCATTAGTGGTTGGGGCATAGATTTGGATTACTGTAATATCAAATGGTTTGCCTTGGAAACAGATCATTCTGTCATTTTTGAGACTGCACCCAAGTACTGCATTTTGGACTCTTTTGTTGATTATGAGGGCTACTCCATTTCTTGTAAGGGATTCTTGCCACAGTAGTAGATATAATGGTCATCTGAATTAAATTCGCACATTCTGGTCCATTTTAGTTCGCTGATTCCTAAAATGTCAATGTTCGCTCTTGCCATCTCCAGTTTGACCACTTCCAGTTTACCTTGATTCATGGACCTGACATTCCAGTTTTCTGTGCAGTATTGTTCTTTACAGCATCAGGCTTTACTTCGCATCACCAGTCACATCCACAACTGGGCACTGTTTTTGCTTTGGCTCCATCTCTTCCTTCTTTCTGGAGTTATTTCTCCACTCTTCTTCTATAGCATATTGGGCACCTACCAACCTGGAGAGTTCATCTTTCAGTGTCATATCTTTTTCCTTTTCATACTATGCATGGGGTTCTCAAGGCAAGAATATTGAGGTGGTTTGCCATTCCCTTCTTCAGTGGACCATTTTGTCAGAACTCTCCACCATGACCCGTCTGTCTTGGGTGGTCCTACACGGCATGGCTCATAGTTTCATTGAGTTAAGACAAGGCTATAGTCCATGTAATCAGTTTGGTTAGTTTTCTATAATTGTGGTTTCCATTCTGTCTGCCCTCTAATGGATAAGGATAAGAGGCGTGGAAGCTTCCTGATGGGAGGGACTGATTGTGGGGGGATCTGGGTCTTGCTCTGATGGGCGGGGTGGAGCCATTGTTAGTAAATCTTTAATCCAATTTTCTGTTGACGGGCAGAACTGTGTTCCCTCCCTGTTTGCCTGACTCCAAACTATGGTAGGAATAATGGTGGTAATGGTGACCTCCTTAAGAAGAACTTAAGCCAGGACTGCTGTACTCAGTGCCCCCGACCCCACAGCAGGCCACTGTCAACCCACACCTCTGCCAGAGACTCCTGGACACTCACAGGCAAGTCTGGCTCAGTCTCTTGTGGGATCACTGCTCCTTTCTCCTGGGTCCTGGTACGTACAAGATTTTGTTTGTGCCCTCCAAGAGTTTGTTTCCCCAGTCCTGTGGAAGTTCTGTAATCAAATCCCGCTGGCCTTCAAAGTCAAATTCCCTGAGAATTCGGATCACCAGTTTGGGAAATCTGTTGTGGGTCCTAGAACATTGGGGCTGCACAAGTAAGCATCTGTGTCTTACTTTCCATTGTAATCCCAGGGCTTGAACCTGTCACTTAACTGTTCCCTCACTCAATCCCTGTTATTGTTCAGTCACTCAGTCATGTCTGACTCTTTGCAGCCTCATGGACTGCAGCATGTCAGACCTCCCTGTCCTTCACCAACTCCAAGAATTTACTCAAACTCATGTCCATTGAGTCAGTGATGCCAGCCAACCATCTTATCCTCTGTCATCCCTTTCTCCTCCTGCCTTCAATCTTTCCCAGCATCAGGATCTTTTCTAATGAGTTGGGTCTTTGCATCAGGTGGCCAAAGTGTTGGAGTTGTAGCTTCAGCATCAGTCCTTACAATGAATATTCAGGACTGATTTCCTTTAGGATTGACTGGTTTGATCTGCTTGCTGTCCAAGGGACTCTCAAGAGTCTTCTCCAACACCACAGTTCAAAAACATCCATTCTTTGGTGCTCAGCCTTCTTTATGGTCCAACTCTCACATCCATACATGACTACTGGCAAAACCATAGCTTTGACCATATGGACCTTCATTGGCAAAGTAATGTCTCTGCTTTTTAATATGCTCAGTCCCTGACCCCCTGACAAGGCTGAGCTCCCAGGCTAGACTCAGAGAACCCCTCAGTGTGTCTCAGAGTTGTCCTTAAGTAGCAATTTGTGTAATTTCACTTTTTCAGTTTCTCCTTCTACATAGATTTCCAGAGGAACAGAGGTCCCTTGTGCTGTGTTTAGAACAGGGCACTTGGATATGTGTGAGTCTCTTGTGTTTTCTGTAAGCTCCTGCGTCTGGGAGAAGGAGGCAGGGATGATGAGGGTTCTGTGCTGGGGTGTGGAAACCTTGAACGGTGCGTGCCTGGGGCTGGATGGAGAGGGCAGAGAATTCACTGCAGGCTCCCACAGGCAGTGGGACTAGGTGCTGAGTCCTTCTCTGGAGCAGAATTTCTCTTGGCTTCCTCTGCTTTCTCCTCAGCCTCCCTCTTAGAGGCTTCTTGAACCCCAGAGAAATCTGGGCACATCAAGGGCCCAGACCCTTCAGCAAAGATGGCAGGGATAAGAGCAAGGCCTCTGGATCCTGGGAAAGAGCTGGAGCAACAGAGAGAGAAAGACTTCCAGCTAATACCCTATTGATTCTGTGTTGTCTTTGTCCGTAGAAAATACCACAGGAAATACCACAGGAAACGCAAGCGAGAAAACGACAGCTATCACCCTAGCCTCCCAGAAAGAATCCAGCAGTACCACTCCTCTGACAACAGTCACACAAAATGCAACCCTGACTTCCAGTGTGACATCCAGTGTGACATCCACTGTGACTACAACGCTGACTGGCGTACTCACGCCTAAAACACCTGTCACAAGTGCGGTAACAACCTCAGCCCAGAAAAACACAATTGCCACAGCCAGTAACACTCCTCTTGTAACTACTAAAGATCCTACAACCGCATCAACCACTGACTCAACAGATCCTAAAAACATGAGCAGCCAGAATGCAAGTAATGATCCACTCACATCCAGAATCCCAACTACCCACAGTGTGACCACAGACAGCGTGACGGCTAAGGAAGGCAGTCAGATAATGTCCACATCTCCAGATCCGAATATCACCCGAGGCATCTCTCCTACTCTGTCTTCCTTGACCAACCTTGAAAGCACTCAGCAGCCTAGCAGGGGCCCTGTGACTTTGGCCCCCGGGACTTCAGAGCCCACAGGAAGCCCCCCGGAGGAATCAAACAAAATGAATGTAACTACAAGTTCAGGCAGGATGACAAGTCCCACCTTCACAGCTCAGGTGGCCACACTGAGTAAGTATTGCCTTGCCTTTTTGAAGCAGAAAGAAACTTTCAGATGTCTATGTTCTGTACCGTTGTTCAACTAGAAGGTGGAGATTCATGCCGTGGGTTAAAGATCGTAAATGTGTAGCACCTTCGCTCAGCCTGTTTCCCATCCAGTGGTGAGCAGCGGCCCGCAGAGCTGTGTGTTGTGATGAGTGCTCGAGGTTTTGAACTGCCCAGTGGACCGTTTTCCTTTTTTTTTTTTTTTAAAGTGCTAGTCTTAGTCCAGTAAATTCACTTCAAACCTCACTGATGGATCATGAGCCTCCTGGCCCATTTGAGATCTATTGAATCAGAATTTCTTGGTGTGAATCTGAGCATTTGCTTTTCGAGGGACCCCGCCCCGCCCCGCCCCATCCCACCTCCCACTCCCTCTCCCGCTGCCATATCATGTGGGTGCGTGGTGAAGTTACTAGAGAACCACACTCCAAGAGCACGGTGATGTCCTGCGTAAGAGCAAGGGCCCTGAGTTGGATAAACCTGGATTCCAGTCCCTGCTCTACCACTTGTTCGTGCAGAATTCATCATGCTCCTCTGAGCCTCCATTTCCTTGTTTATGAAAGGGGTAATTATGGTACTTCCCTCAGAGTCATTGTGAGGACGGTCAGGAAGAAGAAAGTACCTGTGAAGCGCTTAGGACCCTGACATGAAGCGGTTACTCAGCTGACATTTGCTGCTGGCATTGTCACTGCTCTTGATACCTCTCTCGGGTTCCTACACTGGCTCATCCAATCCGCTCATTCTGTGATGGGTTACGGCAACTGGCTTCATCCATCTACCTCCTCTTTCTCATAGCTTGCCTCCTTTTGCTGGTGGTCTGTAAAGCCAAAGTGGGGTGAGGGGAAGACTAAAGAACCTCAGACAACTAAGAATAGGAAAGACTACCTTTTTTCTGTTTAAACCACGCACCTTTCCTCATAAGCTTTGTTTCCCCATTTACAGAACCACAGGTCACCATCAAAGGAACTCAACACACCTCCAGGGAGACGCCAGCTGTCACTGTCAGCACTGGAGCTCAGCAACCTACAGGCTCTTCACTGGGACCTGGGACCACATCTCTTGTCAGGAGATCCACCATCTCCAGCACTCAGTTGACATCAAATGCCCCCCAAAGCTCCAGCACCCATTCTCCCACCTCAGTTATTCCAACAAATATAGGGCAGGTAAGAGAGCCCAGACTCGGAGAGAAGGGGACTCCAGGAAGAGCATCTGTACCCTTCCCTTCCCAGAGCCCCTGGTGGGGGTGTGAGGAGCCAGTATCATTCACCCACTGTCTCTGGCTTTGCTGGACTCGGCCTTAGACAGCAGGGTAACCAGTAACATACCTGGCTCTCAGACCCCAGCCGGCCAGCTCCCAGCTTGGCCCCGAGCTCCTTGCCTGATGTCGCCCACATAACGGTGTGTGTGTGGGGGGTGTCAGTTGCTTCACTTCTGTCCCACTCTTTGCAACCCCACAGACTGTAACCCTCCAGGCTCCTCTGTCCATGGGATTCTCCAGGCAAGAATACTGGAGTGGGTTTTCATTCCCTCCTCCAGGGGAGTCTTCCCGACCCAAGGACCAAACCCTGGTCCGCATTGCAGGCAGATTCTGAACCATCAGGGAAGCACCTAAGGGAGGGAGGGAGGATTCAAAGATGAGATTTTATCAAGTTCAGCCTGGCCGTTAATCCCAGTGGCTTCTTTCAGATCCAGTGCCATCCTCATGAAAAGCTGAATGGGAGCAAACTCTCCCTGAACATTTCCGGAGCCAACAGCTGTGTGAGTACCATGCTCGTCTGAGCCCCACCCTGACCTGCATCCTCCAAAGGTGGTTTAGCACCAGGATCACTGAAAGTGGAAGGGAATGGAGTGTTCCTTGTAGAAAGGAGCTGAGAGATGTGTTCATTTCCTGCCCTTGTTTTTGGTCCGTCCAAGCTTACGGAGGGTGAGAACCAGCTTCTCTAAAGGAAGCCCTGCCCACAGGGCTGCTACGGGGCCAGAAATACCAGGTCTCCTGAGCTTTCACTTCTGAGAGTCTGACCCAAGCCCTGGTTCTTGCTTGCTTCTGGTTCAGGATGTGACTTTGTTAAGTCCATCTCTTTGGGCTTCAGAGGCCTCAGTTGAAAAGAAGAGGCTTAATCTGCCTAACTTTCATTGTTCTAAGAGTCTGTGGTTTTATATTTCCTGCTCCATGTATTATCTGACGGCCTGCCTCTAACCTAGGGGAGCTGTTCTTCCACTCAGGATGGTGTGTGTGTGTATTGTTTGAGGAAGATGGTGTCAGCACGTGTGTGAGTGCGTTTGCCTGAAAGAGAGAGTGTAGCCGTGTTGTCCACTGCCTTCAGACTGCCAGTCTCCCTAGGATTAAGGGCTTTAGTCTGGGGTTTCTGCCGCAGTGCTTACTCAGTAGCTGAGGCCTGAGTGGGTGCTGGCGCTGGATGGCTCACTGCCGCCCTCTTCTGGTCAGTGGCTATTTTGCAAACACCCCTAGGAACCAGAAAGTGAAAGCAAGCAGCATGGAAAACTTGGGTTTACGATACTTTAATGCTACCTATTTTCTGCAGTTGTTTTCTTTTGGGTGTCCATTTTGCTGGAATTTTCCAAGTGAACTATAGAAAAGCTGGAGTTTCCAATCAGAGTAGGGTTTTCCTGGGATTGGGCTTGTTGGACAAGGTGAGAACCACACTGACGCTTGCCTAGCCTTTCCTCCGGCTCTCTTTTTGGCTGAAACTTGGCAGGTTTGGTGGTAAGCTTTCTTCTCCTTTGCCATAAATAGGAAGAGGAAAGCCCTGCATCTTTACCTGGTAGCAGGGCTGGGGAGTTAGTAGGCCTAAGGAAATTCCAGGTAGAAAACCCACGGGATGGTTTGTGGGACAAGCCATAGCAAGAGTCGTTTTCTTCATCTTGGTATCCTTATTTCAAAGTCTGGTCAGAGAAACACCAGTTTGGGGTGCCTCTGATGACTGGGTAAAAGCTACCCATACTTTGCTTCCTCACCCTCAGCCCTAAAGCCACATCAGTCATGCTCTTTCTGCTAAGAAATATAGAGGAAGCCCCTTGACGATGTCCTTGTGCATCTTCTAGACACTCCCAAGTCCCCCCGTGCAGTGATGACCTTGCCCTTCTCTTGTCAGCCTATTTATGGTTTCAGTCTTAGCCGAGGGAATAGGCATGTGTTTCAACTTTGGGATGGATGACCTTGAGCTGAGTGCCCGGCGTTTACCCCTCCTGAGGTCTCTGAACTCAGCATCAAGGGCTGGTGAATGCAGGTTCATTGGCATCTTTGCCCTGGCAGTGCCTCCGCAGGTCCTTCCATGGGAGAGAAATGATGATGGGCAGCAGGTCGTGATGCTTAAGGAGCTCTGAGAGAGGAGGGCACACTTGGGGGAATGGCATTGTTCAACAAGACGAGATAAATGGGATGGGGGGACAAGGGAGGAGACATCTACCCAAGCCAGAGAAGGCAGGGGCTGGCCCAGGAGGAGGGCATGTGACCCACCAGTCCGGGCATTCGGGTCACAGCTGGCAACAGCATTGTCCTGACCTTAGCTTGCAAGGGTGGCCCCGCAAACCTAGGCTGCTGTCGTGATCCCCGAGGAATTACTTATGGTCTCCTCACAACAGAATACAGTTGCTTCAAATCACAGACTGGTCGAGGTATTGTGCCAAGCTGTAAAACCCTCCTTCAACAAAACTCAAGATGAGTGCCATATAGAGATGGCTCCTGGTTCACATGCCCAGGAAGTGGACATCAAACACATTACTATCATCAGTGAGTTGAGGGCCAGGGCAGGGAGGCCTCTCTGGGGTGGGAATGGGTGTCACCTGCTCAGGAGATGGAGGAACAGCAAGTCCTCTGTCCCTGCCATGTCTCTGAGCTAGACCACTGAAGCGGCATCTCTCCCTCTGCCCCTCAGCAAAGCTCCATCCCACGGACATTTATAAATCACTGAAAGACGACTGGGACAAGCTAGAAGACGTAAGTGGATGGCCCCTCGTGCTGGGACAGACTGGGTCAGGAGCCTGTCCCTCGGAAGCCCGCGGTTCCCCGGTTCCACTGTTTCTCATTGCTGAGGAACCTCTGGTTTGCAAGCATGTAGATGGGAGGGTAAAAGGGGACAGCAGGGCGGTGGAACAGGACCCCCAAACCCCAAGTGGAAGAGCTCGTAAGTGAATGGGAGTTCTGAGCGAGAGACCCGGAACCCATTTTCTGCTATGTCACTTTCTCTTTCCTGGCCAGGTGGGCGTCAGAGACATGCAGTTTGAGGGTCAAGGGCCACCAGAAGAGATGGAGGACCGGTTCAGCATGCCCCTGATCATCACTATTGTCTGCATGGCATCCTTCTTGCTCCTGGTGGCGGCCCTCTATGGCTGCTGCCACCAGCGCCTCTCCCATAGGAAGGACCAGGTGAGGACCAAGCATCTAGTTCACTGGATGACTTTCACCCTGTTATTCCCATATTAGAGAAAAGCCGCGGGCCCTTTCTGATAGGCAGAGGTCATCATCCCTTATAGGAAATGGAAATTTGCCTGGAGAATTAAAGAGGCAGCATGGATTTTGGAGTCAAAGATGACTTGGGTTAAACCCTAGCTCTGCCTCTGATTAACTGGGTGACCGTGAGCAAGTCATAATCTCTGAGCTTCAGGTTTCTCATCTGTGTAGTGGGAATATCCACCTTGCAGAGTTGCTCTGAGGATCCATTGCTATAAATGAGCTGAGGCATACCCGTCTAACCAGAAATTTTTTCATTTACCTTACTAGGATTCCCTTGTAACAGTTCCACCCAGATTCAGGGTTCTCAACCCTGGCTGCACACTGCGGAGAGCGTTAAAAGAAATCCCCCTGCTTAGTTTCATCACACCCCAACTGAAACAGCACTTCTGGGTCACTGTATTCGTTTAAAGATTCCCAGGGACAGTCCTCTTCCACCCAGGTTGTATCCTGGGTAAAGAGGGAGAGAAAGGTCTCTCCAGATGGTTTCCACCTGCAGCGGGAGGGCAAAAGTTTCTGTACGCATCGTGTTCAGCCTGGTGAAAGTCATTTTCTTAGAGTTCTTGCCTGTTCAGAAAAGTGGTGAGAAGGGGCCTTGAGAGGAAGGTTTGATGGGGAAGGAGTGGAGGAGAGGAGATGGGAGAATAAAGTCCGCCTCTGCTGACGTCACAGATTTGCCATCAGGGCAAAGGTGATGCGAGCTGGGAATTCTAGGATGCTGGGCAGGTTCTCCTCTCAGAATTGCCCTGAGGCAGGCCAGCAGTCGGGACCACCCGTTGTTCACATTAGCTAAATTGGGGTTCCCGAATTATAGGGGTACAAGTGCCAATATTAAGGCTAGAGCAAGGCTGACAACTCTCAAAAATTACCCTTTTTTCTTGGGTCACCTCTCTCACTCTAGCAACGACTAACAGAGGAGCTACAGACAGTGGAGAATGGTTACCATGACAATCCAACACTGGAAGTGATGGAGACCTCATCAGAGATGCAGGAGAAGAAGGTGGCGAACCTCAATGGGGAGCTGGGGGACAGCTGGATCGTGCCTCTGGACAACCTGACCAAAGATGACCCTGAAGAGGAAGACACACACCTCTAATCGGGGCTGCCAGCGGTCTCCAACGGTGCAGAGCTCCAGTCCAACCACCTCAAGTGCCGCTTGTGAGGGGAGGAGGAAGATCCTTCCCCTTAGAGGGAAAGACTGGGGTAGGAGAGCAGACTCGGAGGGTCCCCTCCTCCCAGTCCCCACAGGCCTTAATTTTTCCCTTTTCAAGCTGAACAAATCACATTCTGTGTAGAATCCTCTTGTAGAATAACCCACTAGTGCCTGAGCGCAGTGCTGCTGGGAGAACAGGAAAGAGCCATAGAAGGGACTTTTCAAGACCATCTACTAGCCTCCATTCACAGACAAGATGACTGAGGCCTAAAGAGGGTAAAGTCAAAGTCACACAGCCACTGGGTGACACGTCGGAATGAAAACAGAGATCCTTCATTCAGTCCAGTGCCCGTTCCCACCACACCACGCTGCTGCATCACCCGTGCCCTCCCTCCAGAGCGACCCTGGGCAGGGGTGGGAGCGGCCCATCAGTGGATGGGCGGGAGGGCAGAGCGGGGCCGGATCCTGCCTCCGTGGGGTCTGGCTCCTTGAAAAGACAGGTCCCGTTCCTGTCTGATGGTCTTGTCTTCCTGCCTGTGTTCCTGTCCTTTGTTCTCCTCCCTCCCTTCATTCAGGTTTTTCATCCTCACTCTGGTCCAGGGCCTCTGGGACTAACAGAGGTCATTCATGACCTTCAGTCTCTTGTTCTGGAGTCTAGTTTCCTGGTGTCTGCTTATGAGATCGGGACTGACAGAGCACACAAGACTCCCCCTGTGAACACGTCTGCCCACCGGCCATCTACAGATGAAGAGAGAAAGGGAAGCCCCTCTTTCCAGGATGGGTCCCCACCCACCCCAAGGCTCCCCAAGTGCTGCCTGGCCTCCCACTCCCACGGGGACTAAAATCTGCAGCAGCTACTGAAGGCAAGATGTTTCCTGTTTCCTTGTCGCTGCTCAGCTGACGCAATAGAGAGGAGACCCCAGCCCGGTCATCCCCCTGAGGTTCAACATGAATGAGCAGCTTTAGGACAGAGCTTCCTCAGGCCCGGTAAGCAGAGAGGTGTCTGAACAGACAATCGACTGAAACAACAGGAAGGACAGGCTTTACTTTACATTTCATAGGACACCCAGGGGCTTTGCAAGTTGCCGAGAGTTTTCTCCTTTAATCCAGCCCTCTACTGCCAAAGGCCAAAGCTCAAATCATTGAGATGCTTGAAGATTCCAGTCTTCTGTGCACAGGGCAAGAAGAGCCTGGAGGTGAGGTGCGCTTCAAGCTGAGTCAGGAGCAGCCAGCCTGAGTGGAATTCCAGCGACCTTTCACTGTCGGGCACGGAGCTAGGCCGTGCTGTGCGCCCTCAGTATTCCTAGTGGGGCTGGCTGCCCGGCGCTCCTGCAGGTTCTGGTGGCATCTCAGGGAAGCACAATGCCGACCGTTGCCCAGTGGAGGGGTTTGGAGGGAGCTTAGCAGGTAGCAGCTGCATAGACGGCACCGGAGGACTGAGCACAGCGAGGTTTCACCTGATTTTCTGATTTCACCTGATTACTGCGTGGAATTTTAAACTGCCCACGTCTCTCTGTTGCTGGGCATAACGCCCCTAGATCCTACTAGGAAGATGCTTCAGAGGATGAAAACGGTCACTTGGCCTAGGCTGCAATAGATCTGATAGAATAGGCTGTCTGCTTTGGGATAGGTTATTTTTTTTAAAGGAGAGGATCTTAGGGGGACAATCTGTGTCTTTCCTTGGCCATCTAATTCCCCCTTCATAGTCTTTAGCCATTTGATACCAAGGGGAAGAGGAAGGCCAGAGGTTCAAGTAGGGCCCCCAGTGAGTTTCCCACAAGCTAGAAAGATGCTAAGGTAACAAAGATCCTGAAGTATTTGCCCTGATTCTTCCCTGTTTGGAGGCTGGCAGGATGGAGAATACCGGTTTGGGGGGAAATAGAGGAAAATGCCAGAGAAGGCAATGGTACCTGACTCCAGTACTCTTGCCTGGAAAATCCCATGGATGGAGGAGCCTGGTAGGCTGCGGTCCACGGGGTCGCTAAGAGTCGGATACGACTGAGCGACTTCACTTTCAGTTTTCACTTTCACACATTGGACAAGGAAATAGCAACCCACTCCAGTGTTCTTTCCTGGAGAATCCCAGGGATGGGGGAGCCTGGTGGGCTGCCGTCTATGGCGTCGCACAGAGTCGGACACGACTGAAGCGACTTAGCAGCAGCAGCAGCAGCAGAGGGAAATGCTGTCTCACTGGGAAAAGATCTGTTTGCTTCTTTCCTACCCAACATTTGGTTCTTTCTACCCAGTGGGTTTCTATCATGGCCACCATGGGACAGGGTAGCCTGGGTTACTCCTTTGCTGATTCTGGGTCTCATTTCACCAGCGAGGTTTAGACAGAGACAGCAAATACATCCTGGAAACCAATCAAAGGCCATAACCCACAGGCCTATTGGGGAGCGAGAAGGTGACTGGCAAGGACCAGAGAGTAAAAATGAGGCTTGGTCAAGAGGAATGACTGGCTCTGTCCAGAGTCAGCCTTGACAAGCTCTGGGCTGGCTCAGAGACTCCTTCTTCGGGTGCATCTGAACCGTATTGTTCTAGCCTTCTGGGCAACTTGCCCTGGCTTGCTCTTGCCACCTATGTCAAAGACCATATTGCCATGCATCTGTAGTGGTCATCTTCCTCCCACATCTTTGCTGGTCTCTGATGCTATCTGGTTAATTCAGATTCTGGGGCTGAGAAGAGAGAAGAAAGCTGAGAATTCAGCATTGACTTGAAACAAGTTGTGCCAGAGATCATAATAAACTCTTATTTCGGTGGCACACTGATTCAGAAACCATGAATCTGATGACTGGATGAAATCCAGGGGGAAGCACACTCTCATGTCAGGGGGGACAGACGCAGCAATGCTTATGAAGGGGGCACAGAATATTCTTTTGCGTCATAGGACAAGATACGGGTTTAGTCTAGATGCAAGACTGTTCTTTCCCTTCTTGATAAGGAAAGCTAGCAGAAAGTTTATTTAAATCACTTCTTGAGCTTTTATCTTTTTGACAATATACTGGAGAAACTTTGAAAAACCAGTTCCAGCTGATACACATATACGTATTTTTTGATAATGTAAATACAACAGCCACATGTTAATCCACCCTGTACTGCTTTGAGTGACTATACTTCGAAAAAACCTTTGTTAAGAGAGAAGGCTTTTTTTCCCTCTAAACAGGAATGTAAATGTCTATTTTACTAGAAATAACAAGCTTTTGTTTTTCTTTAATGAAAAATGAAATACGAGATAGGCTGATGATGAAGTATTTGTCTTGCAGACTGGGCATTTTTATTTTTAAATATGGTCCTCATCCCCTCCCTGTTAAGTCCCAGCATGTTACAATAAGGGTTGTAGTCAATATGCAACCTGGTTGGGAAGGGTTTTAGAACCCAGTCCAGTCTTTATTTTTTTAACAGAAGAAGAGTCAGAAGCCCAGAAAGATAAAATGACCTGGCGAAACTCACATATTTAGTGACAGGAAACAGGCTTAAAACCTGGACTGGAAAACTGTCCGGTGCTGTGTGCCTCAGGAAGAAACCAACAAATTAAGGCCTGCTAATTGAGGGCAGGCAGCAGAGTGATACCAAGGAGATCTGCAGCAAGGGTAGGGAAAGCTTGAAGACAAAAACAGGAACCTTACTGGTCTGTGGCTTATTTAGGTTTAAGACTTAAATGAACAATTGTATTCTGCCAAGAACAGTTTTGAATAGTTTCTACATATAGGACTAAGGATCAAAGGGAACAAGATGGGAAGGCAGAGGGGGCGAGAGAAAGGCAATGGTTTTCATCATTGTCATTAGCTGATTAACTCAAGTTTGGTGAAAACCCTACCCTGAGTCACAGGAGGGGATTACTATTTGCTCCACGTCTTTTTAAAAAAATTAGTGAATGTTAATAGAGTTTGCTCAGGAGACTAGGGGAGCTGTGTCTTAGTGGACAGGAGTCTAAAGTACACTGGAATTTACTAAGAAACCTCTTTGTAAAAATTATTATTGCCATTTTCTTACAAAAATATATTTTGGAAAGTTGTATACTGTCAATTAAACGGCTTTTGTCTAAGCTGGCTCAAGCACTAGTATTTTGCTCTGAGTGGCTTCCATTCTTAACTTGTGCACATGGCTCATCACTGAAGACCTTAAAGAAACAGCGGGGCAACCTCTGCTTGGCTGTGCCTGCTTAGCTACGCGGGTCCAGAGTAAAAGGACAGGGGATTCTGGAGGTGATGCCAAGTTCTCCAGATAACCTCAGGCTGCTTTAGTGAGGAGAACTGAAAGTGCCCCATTTTCCCTCACAACACTTTTATCAATGTTTTACCCTCTTCCTTCACTTCGTTTGCCTCAGAAAAAATTGTGACTCACCCACCACCAGAGATCCCAAGGGGGCTGCTGAACCCTGATCAGGTATGAAACACTGTTGTAAGGACAAGGCAAACATTAATAAAAATACAAAAAAACCCCAAAGGATTCTGTTCTGGTCCTGTTCTGCCAATAAAAGGATCAGTTTACTTGTCAGAAGAAGCCCGTGCCTGCCCCTTACCCAGAGATATGCGAGCATGCCCAGTAATGTCAGACTCTGAGACCTCATGGAGCCCTCCAGGCTCCTCTGTCCCTAGGATTCTCCAGGCAAGGATACTGGAAGTGGGTTGCCATTTCCTCCTCCAGGGGATCTTCCTGACCCAGGGATCAAACCTACCTCCTCCTACATTTCCTGTGTTAGCAGGTGGATTCTTTACCCAGAAATGTAGTGAAGATGAAGGAGGTTCAGGAAAGGAATTGCTCAAAGATGATTCTGATTCTCTTCATCTCGTGGGGTGGTAATTATCTACTGACATGTTTCTTCACTGCAAGAAGAAAACTTTTATCATTCCTAATCTGCTGCAGGGAAACAGGTGAATCTGGTCCACACTCGTACTTGCTATACAGCAGTCTCTTCTGTTTGCCTGGCATCTTACAGTTGACAAAACATTTTTACACATCTTATTTAGGAGTTGTCACCACTCTACCAGTAGGGAAACTGGGGACAGAAATTGAGGATTCTCTCAAGATCACACAGCTAGTTAAATGTACCACTAGGCCCCGAATCTACATCTTTTCCCTCCTGAGTCCTACATTCTCTCAACACCATATTGATGCTTGTGTTCCAACAACAACAAAGTGTGTTTCCAGAATGCAATTGTAATAGGATTTTCCTTTTATATGGGAGTTCCAAAAGGCAGTTAACATCCTTAAGGGTGCCAGAGTTGGGCCAGGGGTACTTTGAGGTTAACTTCAACAGTGTGCCAAGAATACTGAACGGAGTAGAGTACCAAGAACTCAGGAAGGCCTCTGGCCATGCTCGAGGCACACTGTTCTAAGAGAATGACTCATTTATCAGTCTCACAAAGACCTGTGACTCCATTCTCTTCCTGAAGAGGTCATTCACCCTGCTCCCTGCCCTGCCCTGCCAACCAAGAGGCACTCTCAGTTGTCATTTTTAATTTGTTATGCCTCGTAGTCACTCATAAGTCCCCATTTTACAAGCTCCCTCCCAAACCACATATTTATTTTGAATCCTAAGGGTGAAAAAATTAAAGAATAGGACGAGCCACTATAATTAACATAGGTGATACTGAGATAGCTAGGGTTTTTCAACGGCCTTGGCATCTTATATATTAAAAAGTCACTGGGATCCTAGCAAACAGGGTCTTCTACCAGCATTTACTTAAAAGAGAAGGTGAGGCAGAGAAGTTAAGACAGTGCCCAGAGCTACACAAAAGTCACTGGTGGACCTAGGTAAGAGCCTAGGACTCCTGACTCCTGCCCTGGACCACCCATCTTTACAGCCCGAGTTCAGAGGGCAGGTAGACAACACGTGCTACAGACATTATACCAAATGTCATAACCTCTCCTATGAAGTTCTGCCAAACATCAGACTAGCATGGCAGTGGACAGACCAACAGTAGGAAAGCTACTTCTACTATAGCTTTTTGCTCTCTCTTCCTTGTAACACGAATGTTTCTGGACAGAATATAACTTGACGGCCTTCACCCACACCACTTGATATGGGAGCAGCTACCGTCTCAACTGTGTTAAACACAAAGCCTCTGCTTATTGCTCCCTTCCCACCAGATGACAAATACATCAAGGGAGAGGAGGTGGTGACCCACATTTCCATCCTTTTAATTCTCTAGAGGATTAACCCAGGAAAGGCCAATTCCTTACCTTATCATCACACACCATTTTCCTGTTTTGAAAACAGAAATGTTACTCACCGGCCATGCTCAAAGCACACTCTAGTAAAATGGATTATTTTTGATTTGTAAAGTGAGAGAACATAATCCCTATTTTGAATAAAATCAGTGGACAACTAACACCAGAATACAGGATCACACACAAAGCCAAGAAAAATGTAAACCAGACCAGGAGATAGAAAGGGCCAAGAGGAAAGCTCCTTGGTAAGAGTCTGTCTGGAAAGCTCATACAACTCAGCCCAAACAATGTGTTATCTTTGTTGAGCATATTTCTGAATTTATTTTTTTCAGGGATCAGCCCTTAAAATTTCTTCCCCTTCTTTGGAGACAGGGATCCAGAATTTTACCAGCCTCCAGATTCTCTTTAATATCTTTTCTACAATTAATTTTCAGTTCAGTTTTTTCTTCTAGTTCCTAACTGGTACAAGCATGCCCCCACTTAAAGAAAACCTGGGAAACCCAAGTCCAGATTTACAAAACGGATAAAGTAGAATTGGTCATTAACAGTAGACGAAGAAAATACCATTTTATGAAGTCACTTACCAGTGCTCCTTAAAAATGGAAACTTCCCCTAGAAACTCAGTAAGATCCACCAGGGCGTCATTTCAACACTGCCTCAAAAACAAGGCCTTTCTACAGTGTATATAATTTGCCTAAATAAAACTCATCTGTTTGAGGGGAATATTAACTTTGTAAAAATATTTACAAAGTATGTAAATATTTCAAAAGCTGACA